CTCCCCTGTAATATGTTGACTTAACTATTGTGAGATGGAAGAACAAAAGGAGTATGGTTACTCTGAGGAAAACTTTGATTGGTGATAAAATTTGATCTCTACTTATGGGAACATGTCAGTCGCGCTTCTTATCCCATCTCCATCCTCTCTTGCCCTACTCTCTTGTGATTATTCTCTCAATGATATGAAGGCTAATAGACTTCCTAATTACAATTGGGTAGTTTGGCAGTGTGTTATGAGTACAAAGACACATGTTAAGCTTCTACCTTCTAATTAGTAAGTGATATTGTGTTGTCATCTCACTTGAGCATTAGTAAAACACAGTCTCGGAGTCAGCTTTAAACTTGTAGTAGTTTTGTTCCTCTTACTTCTAGGCTCTCTTGAATGGGCAAGAAGAAAGCAACCTTGAGGAAGATCACATATCTTCTCGCCAAATTTCTATTTGACGGGGACTAACTATAAGAGGTTGCAACAATAACAGTTGGATTACAATTTATTCCTTGAGGTTTTGTTATCCGCTTTCCCTGATAAATATTTGAGTTGATCAATGTGCTCCACTGATCCGAAATCGAGAAAGCGAGTAATGGACTTATCGACCATTTGAGTATCGATCGTCCATGTACAATTCGTAAAAGTCCCTGAGGGTCAAAGTCATTGTGAATTACCCCATGCATGCATACCGAATATAATTTTACTCCTATAAAATTTTGGATCTTTGATATATCCTTAGGGTAAGCGCTGAATTTTAAGAATACTCTTATTAATCCGAGACCATTGAGAATGAGTTGTCATTGACTGTGTAAATTTGACAAGTGTCCTTACAACTGGGGATAATCACAAGCAAGTCTTTGCTTCATGGAAAATTTCGAGAACTACCCCTCAAGATTTTATGATTTTGCATATCAGTCGTTAATTTGACAAGTGTACCACTCAGAATACTGGTCACTGACAATCTTCCTAGCCTGGTCTACAGTCTCAATAGAAGAAGATGTGTTGTGCAGCTTCTCATCCGATCCATGAAAATAGATTACATAGAAGACCGGTCTACACTGAGTGGTACACTTGAAGCTGCACTGAAGACCGGTCTACTGAGAAGTTTGGTTTGATCACAATAATCTCCTGGGTTTGATCACAATAATCTCCTGAGAAGTTCGATAATCTGAGGAGAGGGATCTTCTGAAGACCATATATTCCTTCAGCATGGGAGGAGTACTATGCCTGGATAGACATTAAGATCGTTGCTTTTGACTGACCATTTTCAGATGCCGGTTGTCTTAGGTGGCAATTCATTCCCAGGCACCACCTCAAGAGATAGAGAGGCATGATCTTAGACACTCAAGGAGACTAAGATCGAGGATGAGATTGAGAGGGAGGAGTGAGAGCTGAGACTTATAGCGCTGATCATGTCTTTCATCTTGTACTCTTCATACTATTATGAGCTCTCACCTTCCCTTATTCATGTCTTTGCCTTGAGTCAATCAGTCTTGATTTGTCTTCATTGGCATTCAATGTTATGTCTTTTTGTTGATCCTGTCACTGTTCTCAATTTCCTTAATTGGCAATCATGATATGTATATGATGTATTTAATTTTAATTAATATTAATTGCATGATCATTGTTGTTCTAAACCAAATCAAGGTTCCTAAGACGGGTCTTGCTCGAAGGCAGACGCACACAACAGGAAGGGATTTGCATTAATTGTCTATTTTATTACAAAAACCATCAAAATCCTGCGTGACAGCCTATGGTCTTTCCGGTCGCGCATGAAATGGCCTAACTGGGAAAAAGTGCGATAACACAACCGGTATTCAATGCATCTATATTACTACCTTATGCCACTAATGACCACTTCCCTTCATGCAAAAAGATGATACCCTCTCATATGGATGGAAGGTACGATATTCTTTTAAAAAGGGTTGTGAGATGTTGGGGAGATTACCAGGGAAGGATGTCCAACCAGCGGGCTTCGGAAGGTATGATATTGACTGTATGTTAGAAGAAGATGTATACAGAACTTTGAGAAGGGGCAGGCCACAGCGACGGTATAAGGTGCAATTCACTTATCAGGAACCAGAGGATGACCGTTGGTATACGAGAGATGAACTAATGCAGGTTGCACTCCTATCGTATCCTACTATAAGCGTATTTGGAAGGGTGTCAGCATTATAGACAGATAAAGATTGAAACTTTCTCGGAGGACCTTGAAATTAGGCTGGCGGGAGTGAAAGGATTTCACTCAGTCAGTCCCAAAAGTCCCGATCCCAAGGTCCCAGTTGGTCCCGGTCCCAAGCCGGCGCGGTAGGGTAGGTCTTAGGGTCCGTAGGTTGAAGCGTCGTAGGTTGGTAGGTGTCGGGTACTGAAATGTTGCAGGCTGGTAAAAGTCCATCAGTACCTACAAAGGAAGTTCAGTCCCAATCAATTTTGCAGCAGCATCCCAAGAAAGTCCGGAGAGTTTTGGAAACACAAATTTTGGCAAGGCAGAGGCCCCGGGCGACTGGTACCAGTCCGAAGTAGGTACGGACAGTCAACTGCAACTATATTTAGCTGCTACAGTGCCAGACCAATTCAGTTGTTCACTCACAAAGTTGTGGAAGTGCTGCTAGTCGCTTGTGCGATAGTGCAACCTGGACGAAGGACGAGCACCGGGCGAGGGAGCAAGTGCCCTGGCAGCAATAGTCAACCATAGTTAGGATAGTAGGGAGGAGGAAGACGGTGGCCAYAGCCGCCCAGGTTCAAGGTGATACATCGCAGTAGCATTAAGGATAGATCCCAGGCCAGAGAGAGGAGAGGTTGAGCAATACAAGTCTAGCGAGTGAGAGAGGAAAGAGAGAGAGAGAGGAGAGCGGGAGTCAGACATCGGGAGGGGGAGTTCGGTACCTACCTGAAGTCGGGTTGTGGTTTTCGGTCGCGTCCAAGACCGCTGGAGATCTGAACTCTTTATTTGTATTATATCATATTTTTGAGTGGATTTTAATAAGGCGCTGATCCTTGTGTCATCTCTCGAGTGTGGTGTGAACTTCCATGTGTATGCTCTCATCGTGCATGTCGGATTGGTTTGGGATTGCGAGGTTCATTGCATTTCCATATAGCCCAAAAGGTTCCTTGTCTGCTTAGGTAGAAGAAGAAAGAGTTTGAAACCTTTTAAGGGGGGGCTTGTTCTTTGTCTAGGAATAGAGTGGGGGTTTGTTCTTTGTCTAGGAATAGAGTGGGGGGTTTGTTCTTTGTCTAGGAATAGAGTGGGGGGTTTGTTCTTTGTCTAGGAATAGAGTGGCGGGGTTGATTATGATCGTTCTGTTGGAATGCCTGTTCCAGGTTGTTTCTATGTTGTGCCACAATTGTTTGGCTTTTTCACAGTCTATAAAGCAGTGGTTGAGGGATTCCTCGGTTTGTGAATTGCATACTTTACACGATGTTGTTTGCTCCATTAACTCTTCTTTTCTTCTTGCCAGAGCCATAGCCGCAGGAGGCTCGCTAGTTTGGTTGGTCTTGTGCAGAAGATTGAGGACCGGGATGATTTGATGATAATGTTTGAAAGAGTGCTCTTGCAATGGACCACTTATATTGTCACTCCAAGTACACGCACCATGAGGATACACACAAAATCTGCACCGTAGTCCAGAGATGGTGAGACCAGATTAACGCAGCTCAAAAACTCCAACAAATGGTCTTATTATACAAAGCCAGAGTTCATGTCACCAAGCGCTCAACAACGCAACATCATATCATGCAGATAAGTAGGTGAGTCACCTAGGTAAGTAACTCACTCCCTTCTCTCTCTCTCTCTCTCTCTCTCTCTCTCTCTCTCTCTCTCTCTCTCTCTCTCTCTCTCTCTCTCTCTCTCTCTCTCTCTCTCTCTNCTCTCTCTCTCTCTCTCTCTCTCTCTCTCTCTCTCTCTCTCTCTCTCTCTCTCTCTCTCTCTCTCTCTCTCTCTCTCTCTCTCTCTCTTGGCTTGTCTCTCTCAACCTCTCTGCCTCACTTTCTCTCTCTCTCTCTCCCTCACTTGAAGATCAACTCTGAATACATCCGCTTCCTATTCACACTCTACTACTACTACTACTACTAACATGCGGCTATGGCCGCCTGCCTGCCTCAGAACAGCGCTGCCCAGCAGGGCCTTCAGCGCTCGGCTACTCGTGATAGCGCACAAGCACCAGCAGCACTTCCACTTTTTCACGAATGAGCAATCTGTCTGAAATGTGGCTGGCCAGTCCACATATTGACTTGGACTGAGCCTTGACTCGTCCCAGCCTCTGCTTCTCTTGGCTTGACTTGGACCCGGTACCGGCTGCCCACGGCCTGTTTGCTTCAGAATGTGGAGGCCCGGTACCTTCCTGAGTTTTCCTTGGTGTGCTGCTGCTTTTGGGTCTGTGGGACGTGACCTTTGACTGTGGGTCGTGACCCTTGCCGGTGGGATATGACCTCTGACTGCGAGACGTGACCCTTGCTAGTGGGTTATGACCTTTGACTGTGAGACGTGACTTTTGCCTCTGGGATGTGACTGTTGACGGGGTACCTGTTGGACTTGACCTCTCAGGTACCCAGCGTAACCTTTCGGAAACTGGCCGACGTGGCCTCTTTTGGCTCGGGGACGTTGACCCTGAGATTCGAATTTGGGGTCTGCATCATGAAATGCCTTTCACTCTCTTCTTTACCCCATGAAGTAGAGTTGACACTGAAGGTGGTTTAGAAAAGAGCCTGGAACCCAGTTTAGGGTTGCAGTCGGTTAGCATGTGGCGGCGTTGGATTAGGGATCGGGGTCCACTTTTTATACTGAAATTATTGTTGTTGAATAAAAACGAGAATACACTGTCATATGGTACAGCAAGGGAACTCGGAGCATCATACAGGGCAAGGGAATACCCGTACTTTCAGCTATGTGTGTGACCCCACTGTCCTAAGCCAAGATCAAGACAGTCAAACAAGTTCAAGGGCTTAGGGCATGTGCACACATTCACATCATCACACACGCACCCAGCATGCTCAAGCACATCATTACATACCTGACCTTCTGACTTCGATATTCGAAAACGTAGCCGTTAAACTGTTGTCTCCATGGCTGTGCATCATGATCGTGGCACCAAACATAGTTTTCTCAGATTCTTCATTTCCTTCAACGACAACGTTTCTTGTCAACACTGCAACCTCTGCTCGCATGTCAACTACCCGACCATCGTAGGCAACAGAGATTCCAAGGTGCTCATACTTGAGGGGCTGGTCAAGAACAATTCTTTTGTTATCTGTAATGGCGGCAATGGTCCCAGTGTCCACTTCATTGGGATTAAAATTAGATGCAGCAACGACAATCTCATCCCCTACTTCCCAATTGACTGCATCCATTAATGTTATCGTGGTCTGTCCTGGGTAAGCCGTGCTTGCCAATCTTGTCCACGGTGGGGTCTTTGGCATCCCATGCATGCGGAGTATCCCCTCACGTACAGCAATTACTTTTGCTCCATATATGGGTATATCCATGCAGTCAATATCACAATGCATGGTGATGACAGCCTTGTGGGTGAAGGGCGCTTCCGGCCTTCCCACCTCAAAAAGGCCTTTGCGGACAACAATGTATTTTGCCTGAAGAGATAAGTCCATTGTGTCATCAAACAGCAAAGCGCCTTCCACAACAATCAACTCAAGGGGTGGTGGAATTGTGTCGAGAACAAGAACCTCCCCAGGAGGGACATAGACTGAGTCTCCTGGAGCCGGCAGGATGTTGTCTGGCTTCCATGTAGTTGGCGAGCTCCAGAATGAAACGTATGAGAATGTAACATCCCCACGCACAGAGCATCCATCAGGAATCACACACACCCACACAGGGGATCTTATTTCGGCTGTCCCAGATTTCGTTGGACCAGACACAACCGAAACACTTGTCGGAGTGACACCCAACACACGGGCCTCTGCTGAGCCGAAGTAAACCTGAATATTTTCAATTTTGGTCCCAAAACCACTTCCAGTAATTGCAACAGCTGTCCCGCCTCCAGCCGAACCTCTTGATTGGTTCACAAATTGAACAACCGGAGTCTGAGCAGGGCTATAGGAAAACATCCCTGCAACTGTTTTGTTCACATAATATCCACCAATCATTATCTGCACACAGTCACGTTCCCAGCAAAAATCAGTTAACAACTTAACAAAACTCAATACTAGCTTAGCGCTAGGGCAATGCCTGCACAACAGAAAATAGGCAAAGGTTGTTTGCTATTGTAACTTGTGTCCTGTTCAATACACACAGCAAATACGCGACCATACGATGCAAAAACATGCATACACAAACAATTGCTCACCTGGTGTTCTGCAAAGTTCAAATATATTGCCAAATTCCATGAAAAGAATGTAGAAGAACTGGCACCATTTGAAGTCAGCTGCCGTCGGCAAAGCAAAATTCCTGTCGCTTATGACCAATACAAAATGGTTGCAATACTTTCCTGCGACAGTTTGTTGGCAGCAAACCGAATTGCATGTCCTATATCCCCACCTTGCCCTCACCTCGTTCTCTTTCTGTCTCTGTCTGTCTGTCTGTCTGTCTGTCTGTCTGTCTGTCTGTCTCTCTCTCTCTCTCTCTCTCTCTCTCTCTCTCTCTCTCTCTCTCTCTCT